GAGGAAAAATTAAGCAGAATAAGGGATTAAAAGTCATATTAGAGAACCAGGAGTTACTGGGTATATATACTGGGTAAGAGGTGATCAGACAACAGTTTTCTATTTTAAACAGGATTGGTCAGAGTTCTCATTCACCTGTTGACATTTGAACAAGGATTTGAAAGAAACAGGGGGAAAACTGTGTGAATATTTTGGGGAAGAACGCTTCAGGCAGAAGGTGCAGAGGCCCTGAGAGAGAGGTGACAGAAATAATAAAGGAACCACAATTAGGTTCGTTTAACTGGGGTGCAAATGGATGACAGGCAGAATGAGGGGCCATAATATTAGGGTGGAGGGGAACGTTGGTTCACATGGGGCATTACAGAGGATTGAATTTACTGTGGGTGAGAAGGGAAGGTTTGGAGCAGAGGCTACAAGATGGGAAGGTTTCTGGCAGAGGATGATGCAACAGGAGATGTGTGTAACAGACTGACTCTGGCCATTCTGCTGATTATACTGTAGAGTGCAAGACCCGGTAAGAAGCTATGACAATGACCAAGGCAAAAGATGATAATGGCTTGGACCAGGATGGTAGGATAGAAGGTGTAAAAAGTACTTAGAGGCTGAACCTACTTCGAGAGTAAAGGTGACAAAATATATTGATAGAATGGACGTGAGGTACAGCAGAAAGAGAAAAATCCGTGATGATTCTGAGGATTTTTGCCTCACAAGCAAGTGTAAGTGTTTGGGGGAAAATGCAGTGTTTAAGAAACAGAACGGACAGTAAGGCTTTGGCCTATTGTGGGAAGGAGAGAACAGAATAAAATCAGAGATCAGAGAGAGAGGCCACGGGTAGCTTCTCTGAGAAGGGGCAAGAATGCAAAAATATCTGTGTTTTGTTCTAAGTGGAAAGGGAAGTCCCTGGAGGGTTTTAAACAGGACGGACATGATTAATACACATTTTTTCAGATTCCTCTGGCTTCTCTGTGGAGATTAGATGCAAAGGCCAACAGAATGAGGAACACCCAGTGGAGAGGTGACTGCTTTAGTCCAAGCAAGCCAGGATGATACCTGGACTGGACACTAACAGTGGAAGATGGAAATAACTGGAAGGAACTGAGCTAGGTTTTACAGGTAGATCCAACAGGCTTTACTGATGGTTTGCCAAGGAGATTAAAGGAAACAAAGGACTTAAGATGGTTAAGGAAATCAGTTTCCTCGATCAATTCACGCTCTAGGTATCATCTGCTACCATTTAATCAGAAACACCACATTCTAAAACACAGCTACAACTACCTGAGTCATCTTTATCTCCTGCTACACAAGAAACTCAGCCAACTGGCTTAATGAATGTCAGAAATGGATTTTTTGTTGATAATACTAACAGCTCATAAATAGCAAATTGGACTCTAGAAATGGTTTCTCATGAGAATATGGAAGTAAAGAAAGCCACCCAAAACCCTGCCTCTTTATTTATATTCTTCCCCTTTATTTTTGGTATGTAAATCTTTTCAAAAGCTTCTTGCCAGTTTTACAACCCAGGAATAGCTTTCTCAGAGACCTGGGAACCACCCTTCTGAAATGCAGTCACTGAGAAGGCTAGAGGCCCCATCTCCCGGTCTGTGTAGGGGGCTATGAACCTAACTTTGGCAGGCAGCTCACTCCAAGTTGCAAAATTACCTCCTGTCACAGAGACACAAAAAAGTTTATTTTTCCTTTGGATAAAGCCAATTAGCAAACACAGATGACCGATCCTCCTACTCTAGCTCTCTGTTGCCCCAGAGTTGAGCTTAGACATAGTTGTGGGACAAAGCCTTGAATAGTATCTTCCTTGCCTGTTTTGTCCCATGCAATTTTTGCTTTGACCGTGGCTACCACGACTTAGCAGCAAGAACCTAATAGTTAAGACAGACCAAATGGACAAAGCCGATCCACAGCAACCTGAACAGCCTGGGACAAATTACCCTGTCTAAGTCTCGGTCTACTCACCCTTTCAATCACAGATATTATCTCATAAGATTTTTGTAAAGATTAAAATCACTAATGTCTGTAAAACCTAGTGCACCACCCAAAGAAACTGACAATCTAAAAAACTATTAATGCCTCTTCTTCCTAACTCATCTCCTTAG